TGACACGGAACGTCATTCTTTTTCTTTTATTTATTTATTTATTTATTTTCTTTTATTTATTTATATAATTTTGTTTATAAGCATTGTGTTTACGACAAATTTCGCAGTAATATATAAATGTAATAAGAGTAGGAAAATTATCTCTGTTAAGTTTACAACACAAATGAAAGATAAGTATCATCTTTTGGTCATATCGAATTTCACTTAATTCATGTGTCAAGGGGTTAACGATTAGAATTGGAATATTAATTAATAATCGCTTAATCACTTTTGATTACATATTTTTTGTATCAGTGGTTAGTTCACTCTTATCAACAATACCGTGTATATTTTTTTAGAAATTACATATTTTGCAATGTTCATGACCTTGAAATTTTATCAGGATGCAACAAAGTTTTTCATCGACTGAAAGTCTCATTTATGCAGTTGACTTGAGACGTTATTGGCACAATCTTCTGTGAGACTTGATGAAGATGGATTTTAATGATAAAAACTTGCCGGATGATTTGAGATTCTTCGTTATGATACTCTTATACTCATTCTTATACCAAAAATGTATCAGAAAATTATAAACTTCAACAAATTATTCAAAGTTCAACAATACAGATATCATTAATTGCAGCAAAGAATACATGTAAATGTTTTCACTAATATTAAATATTAAATCACTCAAACTATAAGATAATAATATTCAGTTACATCGAATGACACAACAAAGTTACAGATTTTAATAAAATATGGGTTAATCCTGGAATCCTAGTGATTGAAAAATCACTTAAATCAATAATTACAAATTACAAATATTAATCCGAGATTACCGGCTTGTTTTAGCAGTGATCAATTGATTAACGATTAGCATTACTATTTAGTAATTGCTCAAAGTTCAACGTAGGAGAAACCAACGTAGATCTTTTCGGGCTAACGGCACAAAACTGTGAGAGAAACGTATCGTTAAAGCTGCCGTAAGAACTTGCCGCCTGCGTCAACGCGCAAAAATAATTAGACGAAATGTTCAAACGAAATTACCAAATTTCTCTGGAATGCGCGGCGTCCGCCATTGTTCCGGCATCGCCATTGTCTTAATTTCTTTGCCGCGCAGTGGACTCGACGGTGTGCTGCTTCTTCATCGATGGACAGCGGCGGCAAAAATCTCGCGAGCATCCGGCAAAAAGCTCCAGCGGCGGCTTGATTTCTTGCGTGACCCCCTTCCGTGGAAAGCGGCGCAAACACCGGAGACATAAACAAATGAAGTCGGGACAAAAAGAGAGAGAGAGAGAGAGAAAAAAGGAAAGAAATCCGCGCCGTGGCGAGAAAGAATTTTCCGGGGCAAAACGCGTTTACCTGACATTTAATTTTCCTGGCGACGCAGACCCCTCTCCCCCACCCTCTCCTTTCTCTCCCCCTTTTTTTTCTTTTCTTTTCTCTTCTTCTTTCAACCCTTCTCCGTTTTTCCCGCCGCGCGCGCGGAAAACTGTTTCCCTTGAATAAGACTGACTCACCGAGACGCGTAGGCGATGAGCCTTTTGAAATCGCTCGTCTGAGCGACGATGAGGGATCGTTGGCGTGTAACACGTGTGACCAGACACGTGGAAAACAAGCGGAGATTATTAATATCATAATCGCCTGATTCGAACGTCGTTACCAACAACGATTTCCTTATTTACTCGCTTAGCTTAGAATCTGACGGGCAGGTGTCCTGTGAAACAGAAAAAGAAAGGAATAAAGAGTGTAATAAATAAAATGTCGAGAGTATTATAGAGAGGAGAAAAAAGAAAAGAAAAAGGTGAAATAACTGTATCAATGATAGTGGAAAATTGTCGATAATTTCAACGTATGATGTGCTATCATAAAAAAGAA